TGCAGCCTCAACCTCCTGGACTCAAGTGATCCTCCCGCCTCAGCCTCCCAAGTAGCTGCGAGCATAGGCATGTGCCATCATGCATGGCTAATTTTTTATTCTTTGTAGAGACAGGGGTCTCACTATGTTGCCCAGGCTGGTCTCAAACTCCTAGGCTCAAGCAATCCTCCCTCCTCAGCCTCCCAAAGTGCTGTGATTACACATGTAAGCCACTGCACCTGGCCAAAAGAAATGACTTTAAAGCAGAGTCTTGAAAACACAGCAGGATTTCAGGAAAAAGAAATAGCAAATGGAAGTAATTGAAGTTTATAATTGATTGGCTAGTGTTTTTGTGGACCTATACATACTTTATTGTTGCTGGAACCTAAAGTTCCAAGGAGGAAGTGGAAGGTGATAAGGCAAGAGAGATAGACAGAGGCCAGTTTATAAACAGCCATATAGGATGTGCTTCTAGGGAGTTTGATGTTTATCCTATAGTCCATGAAAAACTAATGAAGGACTTTAGAAGGGAGGTAATATGCCCTTACTTGCATTTTGAAAGGTTTGTTCTTTCTAAGGCTATAGCAGCGGAGATACACATGAGGGGGCAGCTTTGAGAGCTATCAGGACATGCCTGGTCTTCTTTTAACAAAAGTAAAATGACAGGGTCATCATTCTTCATATAAATCATTGATTTCAAAAATTTCTACAGGCCAGGTGCAGTGGCTCATGCTTGTAATCCCAGCACTTTGGGAGGCCAAGGCAGACGGATCACTTGAGCTTAGGAGTTTGAGACCAGCTTGGGCAACATAGGGAGACCCCCATCTCTACAAAAAATATAAAAATTAACCGGTGTAGGGATACAGCCTTGTAGGCCCAGCTACTCAGGAGGCTGAGATGGGAGGATTGGCAGATCTGGGAGGTCATGGCTGAAGTGAGCCATGATTGTGCCACTGCACTCCACCCGGCATGACAGAATGAGACCTTGTCTCAAAAAAATAGAAGAAGAAAAAAAGAAAGTCTATGCTTTTAAACATTCCCTCCACACTTATAAACCATATGACCTGATTTAGAACTTTCATATCTCACTTCGAATCTCTTTAATGTTTTTGTTTTCAACCCACAACACAGCCAGTTGAGAAGATCTATTTGATCTCCATCTTCAAAAACTTAATTCTAATAAGTAAGAATTTTTTAGCCTCAGTAATACACTGGCAAATGCTGAACAACCAACTCTTCTGGAGAAGGAAACCCTGATTTGTATTGTTTTCCAATTTCTGTAGTGTAAATACTCCTGTCATAGCTGTTTTCAAGCTACTAAAGTGACATCACTGAGCAGGAGTTGAGAAGACGAGCAATATTACATTATTAGATAGAATTTCCATGTTACAGACACAATAGAGGTGAACAACTCAAGAGCATAGACAGTAATATACAGTAAAATAATTAGAAAATGGTGAGGTTTGAGTACATATTACCTTTGTTTTTAATATAATGTACTTGATTGTAAGTCTATATAATCTAATTTTTAGTAATAGCTGTATTTAATAACCACCAAAATTCTTTTTTTTTTAAATACTAGTTCTAGGGTACATGTGCACAACATACAGGTTTGTTACATAGGTATACATGTGCCATGTTGGTTTGCTGCACCCATTAACTCATCATTTACATTAGGTATTTCTCCTAATGTTATCCCTCCCCCTCCCGGCCACCCTACCACAGGCCCCGGGGTGCGATATTCCCCGCCCTGTGTCCAAGTGTTCTCATTGTTCCATTCCCACCTATGAGTGAGAACATGCGGTGTTTAATAACCACCAAAATTCTTAAAAGTAGTCAGTGCTTGGGAGTCAATGTAAGCTCGCTCAAGGCATCACTGCACATACTCCTCTTTTCTAAATAATTGAAATGATATTTATTAATCCAATTTTCACTATTTAATTCTCATACATAAAGTAGAAAAATCTGTAGGCAAAGCACTGGAGAAAAGGTAATACCACCTGAGGAGTGGTATGATGTATAAAAATAAATGATAAACCCATTAAGGGTTTTAAAATCTACTCTGTTTTGCATATTTATCATTATGTGAGTATATTGAAATAACATAAAAGATAATCAGTTTCATTTTTAGTATTGATCAAAATTATAAGCCATAGATTTTAGTTTTAACTTTAGCTAGCTAGCTCATAAATAGTAAATTATGTAAGTAAAAAATGAAATTATTTAAGACCTGCATAAACTATGACTGTGTGAGTGCTAGAGTGCAATATTATCTATCAAATGCCTTCAAAATGTACTTTCTGTTAAAACATCTCTGAAAGGAAAACAGAAAAGCAACAAGCAACTTTTGATGCATTATCTGAAAGAGTGCACATAACATCCCACCAAGAAACAACAGCAGATCCCCATTAGGGCAAAAAAGGCAGTTGGAAGTATGTGGGTTCACATCTGAGCAGATGCGTCCCAAACCACAAATGTCTGAGCTACAGCCAGAGAGAACACACTGACATATGCTGTAGCTTGTCCCTCTTCTACCACCATAGGAAAAAAAGAACTGCCAAAGATCCCACTCAGACTTCTCAATTCTCCAGAATTGATGCCATGGGAAAACCAGGAGGTAATGTGGGAGTGGGAACCAGACAGAGCGGGGTGGGATCCTGGTTTTGCCTCATACCAGTTGCTTGTTTTGGGGGGCAAGTCACTTAAGTTCTTTGAACCTCAGTTTCCCAAAATATAAATAGGAGAAGGGAATATCTTATCAAGTGCTATTGAAGACATACAAAGTACTTCACATAACAAGTGGTAGACAGATGTTATGAAAACACAATCACACAACAACAATAAAACCACCTTGGGATGTATGAAGATGGTTTTCCTTTTTTCCTGCCCACCCAGGCATCATTAGCTGCTTTGAAGATAGCAAAGAAGGTTTCTAGGCTGTTAGATTAGCTCTTCTGGTTTTACTCTTAATATGACTCAGGTTAGAGAATCTTCTCTTTATCTCTTTCTTTCCTTCCTCCTCTTATTCAACAAATATTTTTTACTGTGTCAGAAACTGTGCTAAGCTCTAAGCACACAACGTTCAGGAAGAATAGTAACAGGCATAGTAGAAGTGGTAACAACAATAGCTAACTTTTATTAACCACTGACTGTTGAATAAAAGACATCTAGGCCAGGCGCAGTGGTTCACACCTGTAATCCCAGCATTTTGGGAAGCCAGGGCGGGCAGATCATGAGGTCATAAGTTCGAGACCAGCCAGGCCAATGTAGTGAAACCTTGTCTCCACTAAAGATACAAAAAATTAGCCAGGTGTGGTGGCATGTACCTGTAATCCCAGCTACTCAGGAGGCTGAGGCAGGAGAATTGCTTGAACCTGGGAGGTGGAAATTGCAGTGAGCCGAGATTGCGCCATGCACTCCTGCCTGGATGACAGGGTAAGACTCCAACTCAAAAAAAAAAAAAAGACATCCATGTCTGCCTTTACCTAATTGACAGTCTGGTATAGGGAAACATATTTACATAATCGCTCAAGACCAGAAATTTCACATGTAACATATTTTTCTGAGTTTTTTTGATACAGGACACTAAGGCTGTATGAAACCTAAATGCTGGTAAACCAATTTGGAACCAAAGCTCAATACTAAGAAGTTAAATTAAAATTATTCTTTATTTTCTGCTGAATAATTTTGCTTAAATGTTTTTGGGGGCAAAATACAAAACCTATACTGAATAAAGAAGAGATTGGTGAAAAATATGTGGTTAGAGAAAGGGAGTAAGAATATTACAGATAAGTGATTCAGGAATAATTAGGATATAATTAATTGAAAGTTAATGATACAATTGCAAGGTAGGGTTTAGGCTTTTTAACCTATAAAACAATTTGGATTCCTGAAATCAGCTGTCACCTAAGATAGGCAATGGATGTTTTCTTTTTAAACTTTGCATTTGTTCCTAATCTTCCCACTTTCCACCAAGTGACAACAAATTTTGTCTCAGTGACTGATTCCCAGCCTGGGATCTACAAGTGTGGTAATGGAAGTCTATAGGCCATTTAATAGTTGAAAAAAAACAACAGGTTTAAATTTACCTGCAATAAGGCTACACAAACTAATTCAAATGTTATGTTTCTCTGCTTTCATCAGAAATTGCATCAAGTTATTGCAGGAACTAGTTATCTTAGGCAGATTAGCTATTGATGGCATCATGGAATTTGTTGATGAAATATCGTTTCAAAAGATGGGGCCCATGTTGTGGGAGGTATTGTAATAAGAGGTCTCTGGTTCTGAAAAGTTTAGGCTCCCTAGTTTAGTTAAGAAATATGTTATGGCGGGGACTGGTGGCTCATGCCTGTATTCCCAGCACTTGGGGAGGCTGAGGCAGGAGGACTGCTTGAGCCCAAGAGTTAGAGCCTGGGCAACATAGTGAGACCTCATCTCAAAACGAAAACAAAAACAAAAAAAAAGTGTATTATGTTGAAAACAAAAAGAACTTGGCTAGTTAATCCAGCAGTATTCTGCAGGAATAATTTATGAGGGAAAAAAACGCAAATTTCCATATTAATGTACATTTCCCTAGAGAGAATAGAGTGTTTTGCAAACACATTTGTATCTCAAAAATGCATGTAGTTCCATAAAAGACCATTTTAACAGCCTTTATATTTTGTAAGGGATGTTATTACTAGGTGTTATATCTTGGACTTCTGGTGATCACATGGAAAAGTTAGAATTGCATTGTGACTTTAACTTTCATTCAGGGTTTCAATGGACATTAAAAAGGCAAAACACTTAGTGTTCAGCCTCTTTTTTAGTGCGTTTTTCTGTTCTTAAGGTGTGTCTCACATGAGATGTTCTTAAATTGTCCACTGTCGTCTCAGTCTTTTATAATACACATCTGCAGAAGCCAAAAATAATTTGACGCATGACTTTTCCCCCCAGAGTTTCTTATTATATTGACTGGTAAACTATTTTGGTAACTTATATTAACAGTTGTAAAGATTAATATGTAATATGTTCTCATACAGAATTATGAAATTTCATGTTGCAAAACGGAAGTTTAAGGAAACATTACGTCCATATGATGTAAAAGATGTCATTGAACAATATTCTGCTGGTCATCTGGACATGTTGTGTAGAATCAAAAGCCTTCAAACACGGTAAGCAAAGAAAATGTCATTCCTTGTAAAGGAATGGGCATAGAAACTATCTAGGAAGAACTTCTCTTTAGTAGAGTAAACCTCTGAACTCCATATTTTTAGTTCATTTTTAGTGGGCAAATGGAATTTGCTTTTAACATTGATTTTATTTTGCTTTTAACATAGATATAACTCAGGCATTCAAAGCATCCAACTGTCTCGTTTTCCTCATCTGTGAAAATGGAAAGAAAGTTCTTGCCTCATAGGGTTGTCATGAGGATTGAATGAGTTAATGCATATAATTCATAACATGTAACAGACCTGGCACTGTGCCTAATAAACATCAATGCTTGTTGCTGATGTTTGAATTATTACTGCTGCTCCTAAATTATCTAAATTCCATTTATTATCTAAATTCTAATCATCCTTTGGGCATAACGTAGTATTTGTCCTTCATTAAGTTTCATCCAACCATCCAACCTGTGAAGACAGGCCTTTCTCTGACCTTTATACAGTAGTAGAGTCTACTGCAGAGCACAAGAGCACTCAGAATCTTGGTGTGCTGGGCCAAAGTTGAGACTTGGCCCTTGTGTTGTTTCCCGGTCACGAGTGTGTTCACCTTGCTGTGGGCTAAGATTGAGCTCTTTCCTTCATTCATGTCCTGTATGGCTCTAGATATATAGTATCCTTCTAGTAGCATCTTACTGAGTGATTAAAAGAAATGAATTCCATATGTTAATTCCAACCACATATAGTTGATTGTGATTATCTCAAAGCCAAAATATTTAGTAAGTTCAGTTTTTGAAGAGCCTTGCTTTATTATCAGCACAAAACCAGCATTTGTGATTGTATAGTGCCCAAAATGCAAGGACTGAGTCTTGAACTTTTTTTATGTCCCCACAGCACACTTAGCCCAGTGTGAGGCATAGAATGGGCCCTTAGTAAAATACCTGTTCATCAATTGCTATAGAAATAACAATTTGTTAATTCATTCAGCAGGTAATTATTGAGCCCATCGTGTGTGCCAGGACCTGTGGACGTCCAGAGGCTGATAAAATAATGACCCAGACTTTGTAGTTTGCAGTTTAGTAGATTAGATGTCATGGCAGGAAGTGAGTACTGCCTGTGTTTCTCCGCAGACAAAGTCAACTGGAAAATTGTCAATACTCTTGAGAATTCAATTCTAAACACGTACAAAAAAAGAAGAAAGTGATTCTCATTTAGGCTGATCAAGTTTTCTTGGAAATTGCTTTAATTCATTCTGTAACATCTGTAACACGACCAGAGATTGTGGTCATATTACAAACTCTGCCTAGATGGCCATGGCCTTCTAAGTTCTTTAATAAAACTGTCTATGACTCCCAAGGTTTTATAAAGTTGAACTGCTACAGAATTTATAGAACCAATCTTGGGTTTCTAGCTCATGTATTTTCTCCAACTTGAATTCCAAAAGAAAAAGACCACAGCTTTCTTATCTGCTTATCTTTCACATAAGTACAATAAATGCTCATAGACTAATCTGTTCTATTAATGTAAGATAACTATAGTTATGATTTTTGTCATATTTTGAAATGGTTAAATTCAGGAACTGCCTGATCAGAGATAGAAACATATTACTTTGTAGTTTAGGACACTTTTACTTCAGAAGATCACCCATAAGTGATTTTATCTTGGACCAGAATAATGAGAAAATTAATCTCATGTGTAATCTCATGTTAAAATAAGCATATCAACTGGAAGAAGTTCTTTCTTATTTCATCTTACATAAATTGAAGATAACTGTTTTTAATTTTTTTTTTTCCAAAACTCTTCATTCTGGCCTAGGGCAATCTCCACCTTCAGCCCTCATAATCAGATCTCCTCTTTCTCTGATAGTGTTGATCAAATTCTTGGAAAAGGGCAAATCACATCAGATAAGAAGAGCCGAGAGAAAATAACAGCAGAACATGAGACCACAGATGATCTCAGTATGCTCGGTCGGGTGGTCAAGGTTGAAAAACAGGTACAACTCAACTACGCTGGGTAATTTTTAGCCAGAATTTTTTAAATCAAAATGTATTGCCGGGCGCAGCGGCTCACGCCTGTAATCCCAGCACTTTGGGAGGCCGAGACGGGCGGATCACGAGGTCAGGAGATCAAGACCATCTGGCTAACATGGTAAAACCCTGTCTCTACTAAAAATACAAAAAATTAGCCGGGCGTGGTGGTGCATGCCTGTAGTCCCAGCTACTGGGAGGCTGAAGCAGGAGAATGGCGTGAACCCGGGAGGCGGAGCTTGCAGTGAGCCGAGATGGTGCCACTGCACTCCAGCCTGGGCGACAAAGCGAGACTCCGTCTCAAAAAAAAATAATAATAAATAAATTTTATTATAGGCAATTGTATGTATTACAGTGATTATTTTAAAATAAATAAAATCACAAAATAGTGAATAAAATTAAATGTTCTTTGTGTGTAGATAGTGCTCTCTGAAATACTTTGGATTTCCATTTAAGGAATAGAAAATTTCATCTCATCAATTAATAGTTAATTGGAACCAACTGTAGATTTCCAATAGTTGAAAATTGTTTAAAAATAACAAAGATCTATTCTTCATTTGTGTTTTGGTTGTTTTTATTGTTTCTTTTTTTGGGTCACTACTTTTCTCTTTTTTTTTTTTTTTTTTTTGAGAGAGTCTCACTCTATTGCCCAGGCTGGAGTGTAGTGGCGTGTTCCCGGCTCACTGCAACCTTCGCCTCCAGGGTTCAAGTGATTCTTATGCCTCAGCCTCCCAAGTAGATGGGATTACAGGCATGTGCCACCACACCCGGCTAATTTTTGTATTTTTAGTAGAGACAGATTTCACCATGTTGGCCAGGCTTGTCTCAAACTCCTGACCTCAGCACCTGCCTCGGCCTACCAAAGTGCTGGGTTTACAGGCGTGGGCCACAGCACTCATCAGGTCACTCCTTTTAAAAATAAAACAAGGCCAGGTGTGGTGGCTCATGCCTGTAATCCCAGCACTTTTGGAGGCCGAGGCGGGCAGATCACAAGGTCAGGAGTTCAAGAGCAACCTGACCAACATGGTGAAACCCAGTCTCTACTAAAAATAAAATAAAATAAATAAAACCTTATTATAATTCTGATGACACATTGAATGTTTGTTAACCTCGAGTCTGTTGTATCTTCATATAAAAAGACAATTTTCCAGAAATCAAATGGCTCCCCCAATTTAATCGAAAATACTTCATGTATTAATTCTGGAGCATTTTGTACCTTTTTTTTTTATATGCCTTTAAATTCAGAATCACCTAGAGTGATACTTAGCATCTTGATTTCATTATAGAATAAGTTCCTTACTAGACTTCTGTAGTTTCAGAATGTCTTCATAGAGGAGACTTAGGAAAGACAATCTGGTGTGAATGGGAAGTCTTTTTTTTTTTTTCCAGACAGGGACTTCTCTGTCACCCAGGCTGGAGTGCAGTGGCACAATCATGGCTTACTGCAGTCTCTACCTCCTGGGCTCAGTCAATCCTCCCAATTCAGTCTTCCTAGTAGCTGGGACTAAGGGCAAGCACCACCACACCCGGCTAATTTTTGTATTATTTTTGGTAGAGATGAGGTCTCGCCATGTTGCCCAGGCTGGTCTCAAACTCCTGGGCTCAAGTGATTCTCCTGCCTCAGTCTCCCAAAGTGCTGGCATTACAGGCGTGAGCCACTGCACCCAGCCTGGAATGGAAAGTCTTAAAGTTGTATTTTTATAGTGCTTATATGACTTTTAAGAGGCACTATTTAAAGAAGTGGCGGTGGGAGAGATGCTAATAAAGACTATATAGAAGCCAAAGTGTCCCTATCTTCCTATGTCCTCCCCGACCCCATCATTGCTAAATGCTACATTCACTAAGGGTCAAGACTGCATCATACTTTATGTACAATATTTCTTTAGATGTGTTGGCACACCTTGGCTTCATTTTTTAGAATTAAAAAATGAAGTCCATTCCTAATAACAGATTATACTCATGTGTAACCATTTTCCTCACTTCTAGGTACAGTCCATAGAGTCCAAGCTGGACTGCCTACTAGACATCTATCAACAGGTCCTTCGGAAAGGCTCTGCCTCAGCCCTCGCTTTGGCTTCATTCCAGATCCCACCTTTTGAATGTGAACAGACATCTGACTATCAAAGCCCTGTGGATAGCAAAGATCTTTCGGGTTCTACACAAAATAGTGGCTGCTTATCCAGATCAACTAGTGCCAACATCTCAAGAGGCCTGCAGTTCATTCTGACGCCAAATGAGTTCAGTGCCCAGACTTTCTATGCGCTTAGCCCTACTATGCACAGTCAAGCAACACAGGTGCCAATGAGTCAAAGCGATGGCTCAGCAGTGGCAGCCACCAATACCGTTGCAAACCAAATAAACACGGCACCCAAGCCAGCAGCCCCAACAACTTTACAGATCCCACCTCCTCTCCCAGCCATCAAGCATCTGCCCAGGCCAGAAACTCTGCACCCAAACCCTGCAGGCTTACAGGAAAGCATTTCTGATGTCACCACCTGCCTTGTTGCCTCCAAGGAAAATGTTCAGGTTGCACAGTCAAATCTCGCCAAGGACCGTTCTATGAGGAAAAGCTTTGACATGGGAGGAGAAACTCTGTTGTCTGTCTGTCCCATGGTGCCAAAGGACTTGGGCAAATCTTTGTCTGTGCAAAACCTGATCAGGTCAACCGAGGAACTGAATATACAACTTTCAGGGAGTGAGTCAAGCGGCTCCAGAGGCAGCCAAGATTTTTACCCCAAATGGAGGGAATCCAAATTGTTTATAACTGACGAAGAGGTGGGTCCTGAAGAGACAGAGACAGACACTTTTGATGCCGCACCGCAGCCTGCCAGGGAAGCTGCCTTCGCATCAGACTCTCTAAGGACTGGAAGGTCACGATCATCTCAGAGCATTTGTAAGGCAGGAGAAAGTACAGATGCCCTCAGCTTGCCTCATGTCAAACTGAAATAAGTTCTTCATTTTCTTTCCAGGCATAGCAGTTCCTTTAGCCATACATATCATTGCATGAACTATTTCGAAAGCCCTTCTAAAAAGTTGAAATTGCAAGAATCAGGAAGAACATGAAAGGCAGTTTATAAGCCCGTTATCTTTTAATTGCATGAAAATGCATGTTTAGGGATGGCTAAAATTCCAAGGTGCATCAACATTAACCCACTCATTTAGTAATGTACCTTGAGTTAAAAAGCCTGAGAAACCAAACACAGCTAATGCTATAGGGTGTATGAATATGTCAAGTTTAGGTCATTTAGAAGATTTGACACTGTATTTTGAAATTATGGGAGTAAACACCTTCAAATTTCAGGCATTTCTGCTTTGTGACTAAATACAAACTACATTTTCAAGATTAGGCCATAATGTATATTTAAACACAATGGCTATCAACAGCTGCTAATAAGGTATCAACTAAAGCAGAATTGGGGAACAATAGAAATGGCTGCTTATTTCAAGATATATTTGCCAACCCGTTCCTATTCAGTCATTTTATTATTAATGTAATTTGAATGTCAATTTGTGTGCTTTTGGTGATTTAGCGCTGTGGCAAGCAATTTTGCACATCATTTTCATGTTGTTCTTTATGACAAGAATGTTCTTCAATTAGAAAATGTGCAAATAATGAAATTCAGGGCCAGTGGGGCAAATAGACTATCTGACATATTTGACTTTATGAAAACGTATTCCCTGATGGCAGAATCAACTTTATAAGTAGTCAACTTCTACACAAGCATGTGAAATACTGGTCAGTAGAACAGCCATTGTGATTGGACTGGTTTCTCTGCAGTGGCGCCAACCCCAGGCTTGCCAATACTGCCCATGTAAAGGGCAAGTGTGAGATGCTATTCTCATTTTGCTGACATACAGGTAGGACCCTGGGGGACAGGACATTTGAGTGGGACTGAGATAGGAAAGGCTTGAAAAGAATCCAGAAACACCACCAGGAAGTTGGCAAAGTAAAAGAAAATGACTTCCCCCTCAAAGGGCATGAGAGGGAGAGAAACAAACCAAAATAGAAGAACTAGACTTTTTAGAAAATGAGTATTGCTAGGGAATTCAACTACCTAATCTTCCCTTATTCTTATATATAAGCAGAGAATTTTTGCAAGGTATTTATTTTTTAATATGCCCTGAATGTCTTTTGCTATTATGTGTACATTTTGCATATGAAAGTCTAAGACGAAACTTCCTTTACTTTTTATACTGTAGTGAAAATTTTCTATTCTTCCCAAGAATATTGTCCCAAATCTGAAATTACTGGTTCAATTTCCTGATATAAACATTTACAATTAGAAGCTAGATAGTACTGGCAGGGTCTGCACACCAGAACTTAAATATATCACAGCAGCAGAAAGACCAAGGGAAACAAAACGACAAATGTATTTATCAGAAAGCAAGCAATGCTGACTGCTTGTCAGAGACCCATCCAGCTGTCTTAGGTCGTCAGAACTTCAGCCAACATGACGACATTCAAAAGAAAAGAACATAAGAGATAGCATCAATTCCATTAAACCCTAGCCACAGGAGGATTCAAGAAAGGAAGTTGTTTCCTTGGCAAACATTAATGCTGCCCCCAGAAGTACTTCTCCAGCAGCCAAGCAGAATGATCAGGGATATCAAGTGGATGTTCAAAGGAAGAAGGAGGGCCGGGCGCGGTGGCTCAAGCCTGTAATCCCAGCACTTTGGGAGGCCGAGACGGGCGGATCACGAGGTCAGGAGATCGAGACCATCCTGGCTAACACGGTGAAACCCCGTCTCTACTAAAAACCATCCTGGCCAACACGGAAACCCCGTCTCTACTAAAAATACAAAAACTAGCCGGGTGGGAGATGGCGAAGCCTGTAGTCCCAGCTACTCGGGAGGCTGAGGTGCAGGAGAACAAGTGGAACTGAGGCGAGCTTGCAGGATGATCTGCCACTGCAGTCCAGCCCTGCTACAGAGCAGACTGGCTCAAAAAAAAAAAAAAAAAAAAAAAAGGAAGAAGGAGGCCCTGAACTCCACCAATCCTCCCCAGTCCTCCCCAGCCCTCCCCAACAGGTTTTCTCCATTATTGACCCTCCCCTGCTTTTCTTCATTAACTCCTTATTCATTCCCTGCCAGTATGTTGCTTCTGAACTTCACCAGGCCTTAACCAGCCTCCATCCCCAAGTCAACCAGCTCTCTGCTTTACCTAAAATGTGCTTCTCAACCTTTTAGAACCTTGTCCCTTTTGATAAACATGGAAATTTTTAAAGCTTCCTTTTCTCATACCACTTGGATTCTGAGACAGTTGGAATCATTTAGAATCTTTTTGGCTGCTGGAAACACATAGAAGATAAAGGCTAAATTTTACACTTCAGTTAAAACTTTGTCAATCCTTTTAAGCAATTGTTTTCATTTTCAAAATACAGAATGTTAGTAAATTATGAAAATCAGTTTTTCATCTTCATTCAACCTGAAGTGATGATTCCCCCTCCCAAGATTCCCCCTTCCCAAGAACATTGCATACACACACGTACATACACACACACCCCTCCACTGACCTAAAGCCACACACCTGCCATGACTGGGCAGGCTGTCTCCCAGTATTAACAGAGGAAGAGGAGGGAGGCAGCAACTTTCAGGTAGCACTGATTCTTGGACATACTCTGTCCTGGGTCGAACCCCACTGGCAGCAGGAATTCTGAATGTATTGGGGACCCCTCCTTAGGCCTCGTTAAGCCTCAAACACAGTACAGCTCACCCAGCATTGCTGAAGACCGAAGATTCAGAAAGAAAACCTACACACAACACTGAGGTCTTAATCATAGCAAAATGTGATAAACCATGTTGTGAAAAACTTTTATACATTGAAGCCGTGACCATTTTGTGTCTATCTTACTCTAGCACAAAAACTGGGGGATGTTAAAAGATAGTTGTGTGGAAACTGTAAGGTTCTGTCTGTCGCGTTACTCTCTGTGGAAATGAGAGGGGTCTCCCATTTACACTAAGCAAAGTTCCATTGGTCAGTTTTAATGATGTCTTGAAGCACAATTTAGCTGAGCACTGAGGAGCCATATGCTTTCTCAGTACAAGTGTGTCTGCCTTCAACATGTAGGGTTGATCAAGCTATTACTTAATTGCAAATATCCCTTGTATGAGATTAACTAAAAAAATTTTGCTATGTCTGATCTAAACGTTTGCATTTTGTTGAACTAAATTAATATTTGTAGATTGCAAGTTTTGTTTAAAATAACTTTATTGAGTTTTTAAGTCCTGATCTGTCCTAAGGTGCCTTTCTCACCTCCATTGATTCAGTGATTCTGAAGTTCTTAATTTGCAAGTAAAATAAGTCTACTAGAGAGGAGGAAATCAGGCACGAAGTGACCAATTCTCATGCCCATTTGCAAAGCAAAACTATAAGGATGATGAAACCTGGGTAACTAAATTAATGGATCATTTCACTAAATCAGATTGAGGAAATATCATAAATATTAACTTGTCTCCCTAGAAGCTGATATTTTTCGCCTTAAATGACATGGTTGTGTTTTTGTAAAAGAAACTTAATCTAATATAATTATGTGCATTTAAGTGAGCAGTTCTGAGTCATGTATGACAATGCAATTGTCTGTTTCCTGAAAACAAATAAATCAGGAACACCATATCCATTTCAAGCTACCATTAAAGTGTAATTTCCTTTGCTCTCTTTTACTGGGATTATTTGTTTTAAAGTAAAATATTAAAAAGATGTCTATAAACAGCTAGTGTGACTATTTTTATCTGGAACTAACTAGATGGTTCTGAACTGACTGGACCAAGTCTACCAAACTGACTGTATACAGATTTTGGACTGAAATATAAAAATTATCTTTTTGCAGTGTTACTGAAGAAGTCTTTGGTATTTTGGGAAGGGGGGAGATTTGCATATGCTTCTGGGGTTTTTGTGAGAAATATTAATTCGAAATTGATTATAACTCACATACCACATATTCACGTGAGTTTCGTTTTAACTATAATAAAGGGATTTGCTAAACAACGTTAAGAAATGGGGACCAGGTGGGTGCCCAAATGCTGCAGCCTCTGGCTACTCAGAACTACCATTTTAAGCACCTACCCAGCTCTGCCTCACCAGGGAAGGGCTTCTGCTCCCAAAGGACCTTTTTTCTTCTTACCTAAAAAAAAATCCCATTTTTTCAATTTCACTACCAATTTTGCGCTAAGTTCCAAGGGTTAATCCCAGTGCAATTACTTTCAAGGAGATAAATTTTCAAGAGATAAAACTCTGGAATACAAAGCAACAAAGCCCAACAGAGATGTTTTAGACAGGAGGAAGAATTAGGGAGTGTTATCCTGGAGGGAGGAAGAGGCTTCCCACTATGGCTGTAAAGAGATCAAATAGGTATGTGCCTGTTCTATCAACTTCTAGATGAGGGAAAAGAAAATTGTGTATAGTATATGCTTGCTTGACCAACTTAAAAATGTTAAACCGCTTCCAAACATTTTTGGAAATACTTTAGCAGTACTTCCCACTCCCACCATTTAAAACAAAATATACTTACAACAGTCATTCTGTCCTAACCATTCATGAAAATGGGCTGCCAGATCTTGAAGTAACAACTTTTATCAGTCTAGATTCAACTGCTTCAAGAATCTGGTACAAGTAAAAAGTATCTTTGAAAAAATTTAAATTTTATCTTACACAGCTTTGAGATTTGAAAACAAAATAGAAATCTAAAAATGTTTTTAAAACAAAAATAGGCCGAGCACAGTGGCTCACGCCTGTAATCCCAGCACTTTGGGAGGACAAGGTAGTTGGATCCCGTGAGGTCAGGAGTTCGAGACTAGCCTGACCAATATGGTGAAACCCCGCCTCTACTAAAAACACAAAAATTAGCCAGGCATGGTGGTGTGCGCCTATAGTCCCAACTACTCAAGAGGCTGGACATGAGAATTGCTTGAACCCAAGAGGCAGAGGTTGCAGTGAGCCAAGACTGCAGAGATCATGCCACTGCGTGATTTGTTTTTGAAATATTTCTGCTACATTTCTGTGTAGGTACAGCCTAGGTATCATAACGGAGGAGTGAATATCTCAAACACTGGCGTGAGATTATGAGCACTTAAATAGTAGCTCTACCAGTAGATAGCTTTATGATCTTCAGCAAGTCACTGATTTCTTAGTGCACTGGTTTTCCCATGTAAAATTGAGATAATACTGACTAC